GAAGAAGAAGAAGAAGAAGAAGAAGAAGAAGAAGAAGAAGAAGAAGATGATGATATGGATAAGTGTGTACAAAAAAGTAAAGAGCACTTCCATATTAATGATTCTGATGCATTTGGGGCATACATATGTGATGGTGAGAGCTGGCTGAGTACATGCTCTTGAACTTGATAACATGATCCACAAGACCGTGTGTTGAAATGATGCTTCTGTGGGGGCTATGCATGAGAGAGAAGAGGGAAAATAGTTTTTGTTGTTAGGCATAGAGGAAGTCACGGGGTAGGTGGGGGAGACACATGGCTCTCCTGGGGAGGGGGAAATAGAATAGATTTTAGGGGTGTGCTGGAGCAGGGAGGAGAAGGGGAAGTGAGAACAGGAGAATCAGGTGGGAAGGGGGAGGGAATGAGGGGACAGACAGCTAGAACTGAAGGGCATTTGAGGGGGTAAGGAAACCCAGTGCAGTGGAACTTCTTATAGTACATGAAGGTGATCCTAATGAGGTCTGCAAATAATGAGGGGGATGGAGCCTCTCTTTTTACCAGAGGAAGTATCTAGTACTGGGACTGGCCTTCATCCAGTTGAGCTGTTGTCTGAAAGGATCCCATGGAAATTCCCTAATAACCCAGTTGGAACATTACTTCAGTATGATGGTTTGTATTTTATCTTGTTATATTTTATTGTGTTACGTCTTGTTTTTATCTCTTAGAATCCTGTTCTTTTCTAATGAGAGATAAAAAGTGGATCTGGATGAGAGTGGAGATGGGGAGGAACTGGAAAGAGTAGAAGGAGGGGAAAATATTCAGATTATACACTGTATGAGAAAATATATATTTAATAAAAGGGAAAAATAAATGAGACAAACAAAAGACAAAAACAACAAAAAATTCTCAAAAATTACTTTTGAGTTCAAGAAACTAGGGCTGGAGAGATGGCTCAGCCATTAAAAGTTAGGCTCATAACCAAATATATGAGTTCAAGAAACTAAATTATTATTATTATTATTATTATTATTATTATTATATTACAGGAAAATGATACAGGAAAGGATGTGGGAGAGTGTGAGTGAGTTATTGAACTAGATTTATGTGATGAAAAAATCAAGAAAAAAAAGAGAAAGTCAAGAGAGACACCTTGGGTCCAGAGCTGAAAGAAGGGAAAGGCAAGAGTGGCTGCAGTATGTTTTCAGGTGGGAGGAGGGAAGAGGAAACCAGAAGAAAAGCATCATGGCCTGAGGGACTCAGTGTACTCTCGGGAGCATCATTTCCCAGACGTGGGTAGAGCACAGGCAGTGTTGTGGGACAAGATGCTCCAGTATTTATATGCTTACATGTGCCACATTGCTGCCCTCTTCTCAGCCACATTAATGATACCTCCTGACAGGCTATTGTAAGAATGAGAAATAGAAGTTCATGATGTTTGGGACTGAACATTGCCATTGGACTGGCTTTCTCCAGCTGGACACTGTCAGCTAGGAAAAGACTTAGCAGGAGCCTGGGAAAATACTGTTCTCTTTTTTACTGGGAATAGGGACCACCACGGTGGAAGGTTGAGCTTCTTACTGTTAGTGGTAGCAGTGCCGAGCCTTCCCGGGTCTCTCTGAGTGCTGTAGGCAGCACAGAAATCTTGCTGGAATGACCTGTCCTTCTCTTAGGCTGAGGTCTATACTTGCTGAGAGATGCCACAAAGAACTGACTTAAAAATAATACTGATCAGAGAAAAACAGCCTGAGAGGTAGACGGGTGACTTCCTCTCTCATCGCATGCTCCGCTTTCTGGGTGTAAGAAAGGCTGAAAGAGAGGCTGAAAAGGAGAAAAAGAGGAAAAGGAGCATGCTGGGAATACTCCCCTTTGCTTCTGCTGTTGTGCATATCAGATGCTTCTATAGGAGATGACACAGAAACAGAAGCAGAAGCAGAGCCTCCAAATGAAGGCTCAGTTTCTAATCAGAATACCTGTTTTGCTTGCACCAATCCTTTGCCCTTAGTTGAATATCATTGGCCCTTGTGGAAACTTTTAAGGTCCTCTTTTAAATGTTCTCTATCCTACTGAATCTTCTGTACACGCACACACATACACAAGTACACACGTGCATACACACAACCCTCCACACCTGTTACTACTTCTGTAAAAAGCAGGTCTGACCATGCTGTTTCCCTTCTTCACCGTCTGGTGCCTCCTAACCTAGGTCATTTGTGTTTTCTTCTATGACAGCCTGCCCCTCTTTGTCCCTTTCACCATTCATCAGCCTCCGCACAGCTGTGCAGAGCTCCTCCAGAGCACAGCTGTGTGTCCTGAGCTTCTGCATTTGCTGCTTTTTTTCTCAGGGCTTGTAGCCTTACTCTCTGATCCGGCTCTGCATTGCTTCTACCCACAGGCTTCCTCACCCATCCAGACCGAGCCTGCTGATGTCTAGCAGGCCTGTTAGCATGGGCCTCTTTCCCTGTCTTGCCAGGCATTGTTCTAGATTCTGTGAGTATGAGAGAAACAGAAATGGAAATCCTGCGCTGTTAGAGCCTCTTCTGCCAAGAGAAAACAGACAGCAAGTGTATTAAC